AACCAGGGATGTAACACCTCGACATTGGATCTTTGCCACAATAAAAGCCACAGAGCAGTTGGTCAGATTGAAGTGCAAATTAGAATGAGAAGGGATATTGAAATATTTTGGAAAACTTGAACTGGTAATTATGTAGCTTTCCCCAACGTGAAATACCCAGGTCCCAATGAGATTAAAGTCTCAAAAGCAAATTGCTTGTAACACATGAAGGAAGAATGTGCATCAGATAGATACATACCTGTTTACACTGACAAAAGAGTTTACTTGTGGAAAAATCCTCAACTATAGCCTTGCTATAGTTCATGTCTTGCTATGTGGAAGCAGGGGGACATATCTACTTTCATGCAAGCACAGCAGTCCAACCACACTTTGTCCAAGAAATGTAGAAATAGAGCCCAAATGTCCAAACACAGTGCTGACAAAAAAACAGATGGGTTTTTTAACATATACTTCACTTGTAGTGTTTTTTCTACTATGTAGAAAAACTATCACTAAGCTGCAGAATATCAATGTATTAACAAAAATTTGATCTAATTCCTTTCAGTGAACATCAATGAACTTTGTGCAAAAGGCAGAAGTGGTAGGTTATATTTTGACTTTAGTAAGATTTTTTCATAATATCTTACAAGATACTGTCACAGACAAGTTAAGGAAAACCAGTCTCGGTGAAAGGAGACAAATGTGGGGCTTATAGTGGGTCATAAACTATAAATGAGTCAACGTCTCACTCATCGAAAGGGGCAAATGCCATACAGAATACACAAACCGCACTACAGTCCATGGAGCACATAAAATAATACTTCCAGTTATTAGCACTGTGAAAGGGCATGTGGCAAGCTATATCCAGTGCTGGGAAAAGTCAGGAGGAGGTCAAAAAACATGCTTTGTGAAGGAAGATGGTGTTATGTGGTCTGGTAAAAAGAACTGGCAATAACAGTCTTCAAAAATGTGAAAGGCTTCTGAAAACAGGAAATGAATAATCTATGCTATATGGCCATGACAGACATGAAAGCAGTTACAAGACTGCAACAAGACAGACATGAGCAAAAATTTTCTAATGATGAAAACAGAAAAAGTATAGGAGATATTGCCTGAGAAGTGGCTTATTAAAAAAAAACCAAAACAAACAACTAAACCCAAATGTCCATTAGGAAGGGGGTAGGTACAGCTGATCCTGCCTTGGGGCTGTACAATGGACCACCGTACTCCCTAAGGTCCTTCCTTCCTGAACCTATGTTTTGATGCTTTTTAAACAAGATGAAATACTGTATTTGCTTCTTTTATCCTGTTCCAGAGTTGACATGAGAAGAAACAAGCAAATTATTTTTCCTTTGTCTGTCAGCCAACTGAAATAAATTCAGTGGAGCCTGCATGGCTTAGCTTCCTCCACCACACATATGTTTTAGTATTGACATTGATGACCACAGGAGCACACATTGTCTTCACTTCTCTTTGGTTGCCTGCGTACTAGAGATAGAGCTTCTCTTCTAGCAGATTGTATCACCACCAGTTTCTGCTTCTTTCTTCTACAATATCAGTGAGGAAGTTGCATTCAAACTTACATTTGTCAGGTTACTAAATATTTCTACAAGCAATAAACTAGTAAGCTGGTTGTAGTTCATAACCTAGACTGCAAAATGGTTACAGTGAAGTGTGGGTTACATAAATAACTTGCCATAAAAATGTTTCCCTATAAATTGCCTGAGCACAAGATAACAAATTATCACAGAATAAATCTGACTCAAGGTCAGAAATGCCCTGCAACAATATATCCCCCTAAGCATCATCTTATATCCATGCATTTATCTTCTACAGGCTCAACCATAATAGGCTCAACTCACTTACTTCACTAAGAGCTCACTCTTGATGTACAGAATGGATTTTTTTTTTTTTTTCCTGGCAAGGCTTTCATAGCTGAGCATACTTTATCATGAGCAGCTCTGCCTAATAGATGTTTTTAACCAAACTCATCATTTTAGTATCACAGTACCCTTTATCTTGCAAGAATACATTTTGCATAATCCCTGCAGCCAATTCCTAGCTTTAAAGGGCATAGTTTTCCTCCCACTAAGATTGGAAAAAAATGTCGTAAGTACATCTCTCAGCTTTTAGCACTTTATGACTGTGCTAGCCAAGAGCTGGCAGTCACATACTCTCAGCCACCAGAATTTTCAGTTGTCCAAAGCCTTCACCTCATCACACAACAAGGGCTGCCACCACAGCCCATAACCTTGGGCTCCCTGCCTTGGTTTCAAGAGTGTGTGGGAAGCTGAGAGGGGCCCTATGAACCACTCTGACAGCAGCAGCCTGCTCCTACTCACGCTTCTTCCAGGTGTTGCTCAGATCTCTGCAGCAACAGGCTGCAGGCACAGAAGCAGCATGCTTCTTATAGGTGTCTGTGTAAGTGTTCTTCTAAATGCGTGTGCGTCAGAAAATATGGCGCTTCCAGGAAACAATGAACTTTGTGTGCTTATGCTGTACACACGATCTGCACACGTACAGCGAATCCAGCACCCCTGGGAAAGGGTGAAGCGACCCTTGTGGGGCAGGTCTGCTGCTTATATGCAATAACGCCCATCTTCTGATGGGAAAGAGCTGTCTAGTATTGGCTCCGTTTGACCCCGTAAGATGATGGGTGTCTTCCTCAGCTGGAGAAGCATAGCATCAGTGATGCACTAAGTGAAGGCCTGTTTGTGTCAGCCATTAACACTGTGGACATAACAATACATCATTTGGGTTCCTTCTCAAGGAGACTGCCATCTGGGAGAGCCCTAGTTGTTGTTAGGAGTGTGGCCAGTCAAGAACCATATTAGAAAACTACCAAAGAATTATTCACAGCAGACTAACAGGAACATGACTGCCACTGGAAAGGCTTGTCTCCTGAAAATGGCATTCCTAATATTTATGAGCTAATAAATGGTTGTCATTTCACTCCATTTATCAGAGAGCACTGACAGTATCATAGCTATGCTGAATGTTGCTTTGAAATCCTCTTGTTAAGATTTTAAAGGTACTTCAGCAATACTAATATACTGACTTCTTTTTCTTTACAACTTCAGAAAAAGGATAAATAACAGCCTTTGTCTTAAAGAGCAATCAGTTTACACAAACTCACACAGGAAGTTGTGGTGAAGCTGACAATGTTTCACAGATTATGTCCTACTTTGTTACTTTCATCACAACAAGCTTTCTCCTCACTCGTCTACTGACTACGCCATACGATGATCACGATAGATATGATGGCCCACACTGAGTGGTACTTAATAGCCTATTACTCACTCAGTTGTTACACAATAAATACACTTCTGTATTACATATTTATTGCATTGCATATTTATTGCTCAAAAGAAATTAATAATAGAAACCAGAAAATAAAACTACACTGATTGTTTAAACACTTCATAAAGTATTTTTTCTTTAAAGAAACTGTGCTAGGTACAGGCACCTGTAGCATACTAGATAACGTTAGACACCACGCATTTCAGAGGACATGGTTAGCCACAACCTCTCGTCCACAGCCTTAACTGTAATGGTATCAGCCTCTTTTCAATCATCAGTTTTTTTGATAGGACAGGTTTTCAGCTTTTACATCCCTGAGTTGGCTAATGCAGCATATACATTCATTCATTTAAAGGAATCAATAGCATTTGCATTTCATAAGTACAGTTAGATACTAATGGTACTGGCTTTTAACAAGCCTAGGCTTAGTAGACATGCTCAGTGTACGTGTAGCACCTCATAGCAGAAGAGGCATCGACAACAGTTAGGAACGCTTTTATCCCAAAGTATGGCTGGACGGATTGTTACCTCCTTAAGCAACAAAAATGTAATGTTTATAACACATAGGATGTAGGGGGCACAGACCTTTGCCTACCAGAGTTTCAAATCTTTAATACATAAACCCAGAACTTCTGTCTACAAAAAGCGAGCTGGGTCCAAGACCCACTTCAAGGACTGTAGCGTGCATGCGGCATTCGGTACTGCAGCATTTGTTCAAATATTGAAGAACCAGGGCAGACTGCACAGATTTCCCCCCAGACAAATGCCCTAACTATTGAATGAGAGGAATTATGGTCCCTCCCTGTGACTCAATGCATCGTGTGGTTTAGTGGCTTTTAGTTTTATTTTTGATCAAACAGAATGGGTCATTTTTCGCATGAGCTGCGTGAACGGGCTCTCTTGACATGTGTGGGCTGGGATGGAACAGCGGTGACCAACGAGGGCAGAACAAAGGGAGGAAACCCGAGTGCTGCCAAGACGGCACCTGAGAGCTGCACAGCCGCCGACCCCCACCCCGCAGGGCAGCGGTCCCGGCGGGCCTGCGACAACCAGACCACCAAGCACCCGCCCGGCCAGTACCAGGCCGCCAGCCCACGCCGGCAACAAGCCCGGCTCGCGTTCCTTGGTCCGCACCCAGCCACACGGCGGCCGCTGCTGCGCGCAGGTCAGAATACCGAGGGATGCCTACACCCGACCAAGCGGCCCTCCGAGGGAGGCTCCTCGCACCCCCCGGGAGC